TTTGATAGAGGACTCGGTTTTTTGTCGTTCGGTATCCATGCTATCGCGTTTTTCTTTCTAAAATTGTCTTTTTATTGCATTTTTTAAACAATGAACACATCTTTCAACATTATTTTTGTTACTTTTGTGCAGAATTATAAGCAATCGAGCATATTGGGAGTTCTTAAAAGTGAGTTTTTTACACACACCGAAAATAAACTAAACACATAAAAACAAATACAATAGGAAAAACAACTTTGTATAGTGAAAATAAATTAATTTAATTTTTAGAAAACGGCAAAACACACCGAGTTTTATTTCAAAATTTTATTGCCAAAATTAGTTCCGACTGCGTTTGGTTTTGAAGCGCAACAGGTGGCCGCGCTGCACGGTGAATGGCAAATTCTACCAGGGCTGCACAGGCAGCTTCGAAAAACGTGCCATCACTAAATATTTGCTTGAATATTTGGCAAATACGCATATTTATTGCACTTAGTTAGTAATTAGCATAGTACACTCAGAGTACGCACAATACAAATATGTAAACATTGTAAATTACAAAAGAACTTCTATGATTTCAAATACGATCACAATTCGAAACAAACACAATATCGTATCATACTAGCTATAAACATTTATATAAATAATACATTTATAGATTCACATATATATAAGCAACGGCTTAGTTATTATTTTTTTTTTTAATACATATATTACTATTCATTTATAAACGCTTTCGAAGCATTTCATGAATGCGATTCAATCAAAATGTACAAAACACCAACTTTTCGAAAAAGGCAAACTTTTGAATTGAACAATGCTAAATTTGATCGGCGGCTAAACCGGATTTAACCATCGTTAAGTACTAAAGTTAGTTAATTTGCAGACTTATTTTACTAAAATTCCATATGAGTAAATGCGTCAAAAATTGACTCAAATTTGATGATCTTATGTGCAATTTTTAAGAGAGCTTTGTTAAAGTACATTTAGAGGGAGAGAGTGAGAGGAGATCGCATTTTAATTACAATGAGAGAGCTTCAGATTAAAACTTTCATTTAAATAGATTATGTGTTGTAATATGGACATTTAGTCAAAAATATTCGGATAGTCTGTTTCGATCCAAAATCAGATCAGTTTTTGTGTGTGTTTCCGGTTCTTTTCAGCAATTTTCAGAAATGGAACTTTTTAAGACTTATTCGTTAGTGTTGAACTTTATACAAAATAAGATTGAATAATTGAGTAAAAATGGCTACAGAAAGTATCAAAAATAATTGTATATGCTGTATATAAATATGGTATTAGAGAGACCCAAAAACATCTGCCCAATGAGGTAGACAACAACTCATGCATTATCCACATCATTTCCATGTGCCCCGATCTCCAGACTCAGTTCCATTGCCTGTTTGCGCAGCTTGAATGCCTTACGATCAATAAATTATTTAATAGTCAACTATAATAACATACTATAGCAAGTAGGAGATTTACCTGGCTTCTGAGCTCCTTTTCGCGGGTAACCAATTCCTGTATTTGTGCCATGGTCGTTGCCAAATTGCGTTGATCAATCACCCAGCGTAAATAGAGTTCTTTGCATAAATACAAGAAATGAACGTTTACAAAACTTTACGTCATGTTATTTTGGAAACAACTCACCGCTCCACAATTCCAGGCTAATGGGTGCCACAGAGGGCCAGATAACACTGGCATTTGGCTCGTACAGGGGATTAAGCAATGTCTGCAACACATCTGGTCGATTGAGGTACGACCACAGGCTGGTGGTCCTGGTGTGCACTTGGAGCTCGTGTCGCTCCCGTTCCGAGTCGCACAGAAAGGTGCCATATTGCGAGAAGTAGCTGTGCTCGAAGAGCAATATGAGCAGCTGCGTGCTGAACTCAAAGCTGCAGGGAAACTGCATGTACAGCTGATAGATACAATCCAGAAACAGAACAAATGTGGCGCCCGAGTTCTTGTTGCGCATCTGATGCGGCGTGTAACAGGAATAGCGATGCCTCGATGCGAACGGATGTCCCGCCTGGATCCACTCGCGCTCTATCAAAGCTTGCAAACTGCAGAATCCACGTAATGTATAGTTAATATATATGATAACTGTGTACGCCCATTACTAACCCGCGCACAGTGCGACAATCTGGATTTAGAATGATTTGCACCAACGATGTAACTATCAGCGTCGAGTCAAGACCCTTGGCGCCGTGCACCAGGACTGGACTGCCCTCCTGGTCCAAGCATTGGGCTACTACGCAGGAGGCATTCAACGAATTGAGCACCAGGCTTAGCCAGCCGCTATTCTCGAGACGCGATAGCCACTTGTCCGTGCTGCAGCCAGTGTCATTGCAGGCCTCAATCAATTTGGCAAAACTGTCCAGAATGGAGGCCGGATAACTGACATTGCCGATTGAGCGATTGACCTTCTTCCACTGAGAGTAGTGCAGGTCCGTTTCAGTGTTGGACTTGCCCTTGCCCCACGTGTCCACAATAAAGCCCTTTTTACTGCGTCCCAGCACCAGATTGAGTATGGCCTCGTCGGCCCGGCAGCGCTTGATGCCCTGTATGGACAGTGGCTGGGCGCTACGCATCAGAGTAGCCTGCGTGCGGAACAAACGAAGATAAAGTTAATTTAATTAATCATCATCAAACAGATGAACAGATGTAATTATACTTACGCCATTTTCATGCCTGTAGCTGAGCAATGGGAAACGTCCGCCGTCTCGAAAGGCAGCGGAGAGCGCGATTTGCTCGTCGCTAATTGCTTTAGGTACAATCAGTGTGGCGCCATATGTGGCACAGACGCCGAAGTCTTTGTTGACGTGGCTGATGCGCCACTCGCAGGCGGACACGCTGCTGCCCACCAATGCAGCTGCTGCGTCCAACGCAAAGCCGTTCTGCAGCGGATGAGGTATGCTGCTGGTGCTGCTGCTGCTGCAGCCCACAGCTGAAGTCGAGGGCATGCAAATTGATATATTTGCAACGTTCGGCGATGAGGCACCGCCCATACTCATGCCGCTGATAAGTTGTGCGAATTCCAGCTCCGGTCTGCAATATAAATTTGTTTTAGTGGCAAATTGAATGAATTAAATATATATATATATATATATGTAACACACCTGAACATTGTGAAGCCGTCCTCCAGTATGGAATACATGGGTCTGTAAAAGAATGGATAGTCGAGCTCTGGGTTTTGTATTGCACTGAGCGCCTCCAAGGAGGCAGCCACATTAAAAAAGTCTTTGGCATATTTGATCTCCAGCGATATAATGCGCAAATCCTTGCACTTGAGCGTAATAATGCCGCCCATGACAATGTTCTGGCCCATGCTCGGCTTCTTCTCCACGCAGTCGATGTTCTTGTGCAGCAGCTGGAAAAAAGGCACATTGTAATTCAATTAACTCAGCTAATGGGCGCCACTTTGCGCTTCACTGGACACTTACCCATAGCTCCTGCGTGTTTTCCTGACGTGCGCTGAGCAATAAATGGTGACCCGTTATGCACAGGGTGCCCTCAACTGTTGCATTTGCTGCATTCGTGTGCAGGAAGACCCCATCCAATTTGGGTGTTTTTATCAGATCAGCGAACTCCATGTCATCCAGTCGACCGCCCCTTGACCAACACACAACGCACAAATTATGGCTGACCACCCACCGAGCGGTGATTTTGTTCACGCTAATTAACTTTTTGCATTTTGCCTGTGGTGCTGCCGCAGCGGCTGCTGTGCTGTTGTTGTTGTTGTTGTTGTCGTCGTTGCCACTTGATTGCTTCTTCTTCTTCTTCCACTACCCGCCTTTTTCCTCTTTGTTGAACTGTCAACAGCAGTGTGGGCGTTGCAATATATATATATAAACGCTATGCTTACGTTACACGATTGCTGCACATGTGATAGCACTTGTTACACACACCATTAACATTTATGATTAGTTGCGTATTAAAAATGTTGCTCATAAAGCATTTTGGTAAGTTTTGCAGGCGATAACGGTGTGCTGCCATTCACAGGGAAACGCGGACACGCCGCGAAAAAAGCACACACAGCCGTCGCCATTTATGTGCGGGCAACGGCGCAGAAAAATGTTAGCCACAATGCGCGCGCAATTCAAACGAGAAACTATCGGCATAAAGAGCATAACATAATATCTATATAGAAATATTTATTTATACGTAAAAGTTAGTTTCAAAAGGTTTGTTTACAAAAAATAGGGAAGTTTTCCATTTTTGTCTGTTCCATGGCATTGAAACCAACCACAACACTTGTCAGTATTTGTCTTTCAGGCTTATAAGTTAGGGATTCATTTGTTTCCGTTTTTGTTTTTGCTTTTCTTTTGTTTATCCTTGGGATTGTGTTCGAGTGAAATTGAATTTTCAAACATAATAGAAAATATGTGTATATATAAGTGTATATTAATGCGAGTACGCTTGCTTTGTAGTTCTCGAAATAATATTGTAAATTGCTTCTCTGTTAATTGTCACAATGCGAATATATATATATATATATATAGATATAAATACTTAACAGCTTTAACGTACAATAAATTTATTGCAAATATACGCATCAATCAACCAACACACACTTAAAGAGAGTCTAATCTATATAATTTTGTTTTCTTTTTCGTATAAGATATCACAACTGGATGCCAAAAATTGCCCAAAGCACGAGAATTGAGGTAAAAAAAAAAAAAACAAATTGAAATTATATCAAAAGCAGCCAGATAAAGCTAAAATAGTAGAAATAGAAACAAAAATCATTGGCGATAAGTTTATTTTGTCGCTAAAAAATATGCTTTTCGATTCTTTGTACCAACAACTTAGGCTAAATATAAGTAATAAAATTATACTAAAATTAAATGAATTTCTTAGCAACAAAAAAATGTTTTCTGGTTTTCATTTTGTTTAGGTGCAATGTATGTTTTTTTTTAATTTTTTTTTTTTTTTTTTTGTATGTGTAAATGCACATTATGCAATATTAGAACAAAGAAATGCACAAAGAAATTGGAATGCATAAACAACAAAAAGATAAGTTTTCAAAGAGGAAGACATTTATGCAATGAAGTATATATTAAAAGAAAAACAAAACTAAATATGGCAATTGACAAAAAATATGTAAGTTGGTATGTATGTATGTGTATGTGTATTGTATGTATTATTAAATATAACGATTATGCAATATTGGAAGAGCTTTGGAAACAAATCGGTGGAAGTAAGTGTTAATAAGCTAACAAACATAATTTTGCATTAACAATTTACATTTTGTTTTTCATTTGTGTTGTCGTTTTAAATTTAACATGAGAAATTAAATGCATTCAATAAATATTTATGTATGTATGTAAAATGGAAGTAAATTTGTTCTTAACAACGCTTTGTTTTTGTTTTGTTTGTTTGTGTGCCAGAGCTTTAAATACATATATGTAAGTATACGTGTAGCTGTATGACAGTTAAATATATATAACTACATGTGTATGCGCGTGTGTGTGTGTGCTTGTGTATATGTAAATGTACATATGCTAGCGTATAAGTGTGCAGCTTTTGTATATAACAGTAGCACTCACACTTGGATCTTGTGTGCGTGCGTGTGTGTGTGTGTATCGCCTAGACGAATCTTAAATATCTAATTTACTTTAGATAGTTCCAATTTGTCTACGCCTAGCATAACTGGTTTATGTATTACATATATATATATATATATATAAATACAAAGTATATATGTGTAGCATAGAATTTAAGCATACTTTTAGCTATATACAACGGTTTATTTCACTACTACTCTTACGTATTCATATAGATATATATACGAATATATATATATATATATAGATATATATTTAGAGATATTTTAGAGCTTAATACAACTTACGAGTCTAGCTTTTAAAAATTCTTAGCAATTTTGGAGTTTTGTTGTTTGTTTTTAAGATTTTAGCAGCTTAAATAGTTATCAGTTTTTTCTTTGTTTGGGTAATTCGGGTTCACAAAATAAACGTAGAAAATTTGTGTGTCGTTTAAATACAAAAGAACAATAAATAGGCTTAAACATTTAGATTTCGCTTCTCGGTTACCCCGTATAAATGTGTATAAAAATAGTTAATTAAAAGATCTAAGCTCTACATATTTTAAATCGTACAAAAAAAAAAAATTAGTTTAAAATTAGCACACGCTTCACGCATCTGTTGCTGTTGGAAGTGTTTCGAAGTACTTGTGTGTGTGAGTGTAGGTGAGGGGAAGTGAGTGTGTGTGTGTGTGTGTTTGTGGGGGGGCAGTAGTAGAACAGTTATGCGCATTCACCGAGTCAGAACAATCGCTCTGGGTATGGCGAATACGCATAGTCTTGAACGCTAATAAATCGGCGGCGCCGGCTTCGGCAGCACGGCAGCTGTTGCTGCCACAGCCACAGCTGATGCGGGGTTTGCGGCGCTGCTGCTGGGTGGAGCTGCCACAACACTGGATGCCGTCGACGATGGGCTGGACGATGAGGCGTTGCTGCAGCTATTGTTGTTGTTGTTGTTGTTGTTGTTGTTAATGTTATTATTGTGTCGCTGGTTGCGCAGCTGCTGCTGCTGATATTGCTGTTGTTGCTGTTGTTGCTGTTGTTGCTGCTGCTGGTGCGGCAGCTGCTGCTGCTGATGGTGTTGTTGATGCTGTTGCTGCTGCTGCAGCTGCAGTCGCTGATTCTGATGCTGCAAGTTGTGCATAAAGTAGGCGTTCACATTCATGTGGCTGTTGCTGCTGTTCGTGGTTGCCGGCAGAGCGCGCACATGTTGCATGTGCGGCAGCACGGGCTGCAACTGTTGTTGTTGCTGCTGCAACTGTTGTTGTTGCTGCTGCTGCTGCTGCTGTTGGTGATGATGCTGCAAGTTCAATTGGCCGGCGGCGCGCATCATGTGCCAGTAGTTGTCATCGCCGATCGGTGCCTGCCGACTGCCGTATTTCAGCTGCCGCGTTATGTCCTGCTTGTAGTCGCGATGATCCCTGTCGATGGCGTAGGCCTTGTCCCGCAGCTTTTCGATGGTTTTCTTGAACTCGACAAATGCCTGCGGCGACTGCTGCTGCAGGGCGCTGGCCAGCGGCACAAGCGGATTGTTTGGCTGCTGTTGTTGTTGCTGATGCTGTGGCAGGGGCAGGGGCAGGTGCTGATGGTAGGCGAGCGGATCGAGCAGCGCGTCCAGCAGATTCATATTGGCCATGATGAGCGTGTGTATGCGCTGCAGATCTAGAGCCGGATCGAGCGCCGTTACCAAATCCATTTGAAAGTAGTCCATTTCCTTGGCGGACACGTTCTTGCAGCCGGGCGCATTCTCATCGGAGCGGCCGCAGCAGCTGTAGAAGCCGCTGATAAACGCTGAGGGATGAAAGTATTGCATCCGGATGGAGTTCATTAGGCAGATCTTGTGTAGTAGGTCGAACCATTCGCGCTCCTCGACGCAGTTCGTCGTTTGTACAATAAGCGGGCGGTCTTTGTGCACGATCTGCGAATGAATTGAATGAATACAAAATGCCGTGTAAATTATTTGCGTTCTTTTCACTTTCAGCCTATAAAATAAACATTTGCCCAACAATTGCGCGCACAGTGAAAACGCCGCAAACGACGATTCACACGGACAAAAATCCCACGCGTGCCTCCAACGTAACCGAATTCTTTGCTTTGACGCGCGACTTTTTTAAAGGTTTCGAAATTTCCCTTTTTGTCGTCGCAAAACAGAAATGAAACAGAATAACAATGGTTGGTGTAGTTGGAAACTAGAGTTACCAGCACAGCTGGAACAGCGTTGCCAACTCATTTTCATAATAATGTTAATTATTTTTAATTGCAATCTTGTCGTTTGCATAGACGCAACGCGTCTAGATGGAAATACAAATCATAAGTGAAAGTTTATGCTACCCTTTTGCTGCAATTACAGCTAATTTTCTTTCCACTAAAAAGTCGACGAGCAGCTACCAAAGTTAAATCGCGCGATCCATTGCGACGCACTTCAGGTATCGATACTCGAATACAATGCCAAAATGTTAAACAACGGTTGCCCATTCAAATATATCTTACCAAAAATTTAAATAAGATTTGGAAAATGTAAGAGCTCAACGCAATAATTAATACCAATATGAATATTTTTTATGCCATAAATAGAATACTCTTATTTCGGAAAAGAGAGAGAATTACCCGTTTGCCGCAAAAAGGTCCAGCGTACGATTAAAAAGTACCTGTTTTGGTACATTGTCATGCATGTAAAAACCGAGCAGACGCACACACACACACACACACACACACACATGCACTCAATTCATTTGTATGTGGAATGGAACGAACTGTGTGGGCTGCCTGCGCCTAATTTATTTATGAAAATGCATTTTTAAACTTGTCAATTTCCGGCATAATGTATTGGCATTTAAGATGTACGCTTGAATGGGTATATTAGCTGCGAGCAAAACATATTATTGACAGGCATACACAGTATTTACGAATTATTTGAATTAACAGATCTGTTAAGTTAGCATGTATGTACCTGTACCTTGTACCTGTATATGTATGAGTGTTTCCCTCCATTTATTTCTATTGGAAACGAGGCGGCGTGTCTGTTCTGCTTAGATCTTAAATGCTTGGTATGCTGTTCCACTTACTAAACAACCACACCAGGCCAGTACCAGACTTAACGATAGATTGTGATCTTTGGTTGTAACTCACCTTGAAGCAGTTTTGCATTTTGAAGCTTTTGTCTTTCATTTGCTCGACGCTTCCGATTTCCTCAAGCGGTATATCACAGATGGGTTGTTTGCCCTTCGACTTGGCATAGCTTAGCGAGTGCGTTGTCAGGCGAAAGTAACGTTGCTTAAATTGGCGTCCAAAGCGTTTGCGGCATGTCGGATATTTGGTCATCATGCTGTGCGCCCAGTTTGGTGGGTGGGGAAGGAGAGACAGAGACAGAGAGAGCAAGGGGAGAGACACACATAGCAAAGAAAGAAAGAGAACGAAAACAAATGAGCAAATGTTATGCATTTAATGCTTTTAATATTGTTTGCAATTCAAAAGTAACAAACAAACAACTAAACAAACTAACTATAAAAGAGTACCAAAAATAAAAGCAAATTTTCTCTTACCCCTCGCTAGACGTTAGTATTGTTTTTGTATGTGCAAATGATTTAGATGTGTGTGTGTGCGTGTGCGTGTGTGCGTGTGTATGTTGTGCATGTATGATGGGAGTTTGTTGGGCGTGATGTGATGATATGGTTTGTTGTTGTTGTTTTATTTGATTTTTTATATTGATTTTTTTTTTTATAAAGCAGCACGCGCGTAAAAGAAGAGAAAGACAAAGAAAGTTTTGGTATTAGAATAAAATAAAGCGTAATCAACCAAATGTAGTGTATACAAAATTTGGGAGCGAGATGGCAAGTATGAAAAACTATCGATAGGCAGTTATCATGTTATCGATATTAATCAACCGTTATCAATCGTTTTCCAAACCAACTGATAGAAGATCTGACACAATTCAAATAGGCAGACAAAACAAAACAGAACTTACCCCTCCTTTAGTAATACTGGTTCCAGTGGCAATCGCGGCAGCGCTTGCAGCTGTTTGCTGGGCGTCTCACAGGCATTCGGCGTGGAGATGACCTCGAGAAAGTGCTTAACTGCATCCACATGCTTCTCCGTGCAGAACTTCTTGTACAACTCGCCGGTGTACTCCTCCTTGCAGGGCTGCTGCGAGGACCGCGAACTGACCAAGTTGCCCAACGATTGTATCGTCTTAGAGATTAGCGTCAGTGTACGATTCGTTTGGGCATCCTGCAAATGGAGAAGGATATTAACGTTAATGGCTTACGTTGTTTGTGATATAACTCTGCTTACCAGTCGCTCCGTGGTCAGGTCGAAGAGCTTGGGACCCAGTATGGCGGGCGCAAAGAATCGGAGGAATATGAAACCAGAGACCACCGAGTAGCGCACCTCGCGATTACGCGGAAAGTGTTTGCCCGCGCACTCGCGTAGATCGTGAAAGATCTGACAGAGGACCTTGGGACAGCGCTCCGCACTCTTGGTGATAGCCTCGAAAACGCGCTCCACATAATCCTTGAGATTGTGCAGATTTGTGTCGACGGCCGAGCGATCCTTCACCTTGCTGGGATCAATTTCGCAGGGCTTCTTCTCGGCAACAATTTGCGAAAGTACCGGACGTAGCGTCTGGTGCAGATAGTGTAGACCCGACAGCCGCATGGCCTCATCCATCATCTTGGAGACGAGGGTGTTGCCACGGAAAATGGTCGTGGGATCCGTCAGATTGGAGATCTCATGATCAGCCAGCGCCTTGATAATCGGCGCAATACGTTCCGTGTGCGTAAAGAGACGCACCAGAGGCTGGGCCACTTCCGTTTTTCCCGACACCAGCTCGCCCAGGATGTAAACAGAGGATAAGGTAATGGGCCGCTGATCCACCGACTCCAGAAGTAAATTCAGCAAATCATCATAGGTGGCAAGCGGGAATACATGGTCTGCCGTGTAGTTAAGATTCAGACGCAACGATCCAATTGTTGAGTCCACGCTAAGTCGCGTACCAGGTGGCGTGGCGCAGGACCGGGGCGTCGCATTCAACGAGCGGCAACTGTGGGCTGTGGTGCGCGGTTGCAGATAATACCAGGCAGCTGGCTGCACTGCCTGCTGTTGTTGCTTGTTCAGCATGGGCAGACGCACCTCGCCCAGGAACACCTTGTCCGCCATGGCGCCGTGTGCATCATGCCAGAGCGTCACGGCAATCTCACAGAGATCAGCGCCGCCCAGAGGATAAATCGCATATGCTTTATTCGCTGACGATTCAAGCGACGCAGCGGATTTGTTGCTGTTCGTGGTGCCCGTGCTGCCCGCCTCGGAATCAATGGAGAGATCGAAGTACATGACCTCATCGAACTCGGGATCGACGGTCTTTTTGCGCTGCTTGGTGCGTTTCGTGATGACCTGCTTGTTGCTGTAGTAGGCCGTGCAGATGACAAACGGATCGCAGGTGCCCTGCTTCTTGGCCAGATCCACACAGGCGGGCACACGAATCGCCACGCGCACATTACGAGCATGCACATTCTTCCAATTGGCCAGCTGATCCGTGGAGGATGCGGCCAGTTGCGCCTGCTGCTGTTGCTGCTGCTGCTGCTGGTGATGCACATGTCCAAACAGACCTGCCGCGCGAGTCTTAAGTGTCATGCCACTGGCGACTGCAAAAGCAGCTGCAGCGGTTCGTTGGATGTTGCTCAATTCGTTGTTCTCCTTGTAGTCATTGAGATGAGCCCGCTGATGATGTGGATGATGCTGTAGCGTGTGCTGGACATGCTCGATGCTCTCTGTTAGCAGCTGTGGCACCTCCTCGAAGGCCACCTGAATGTGCACCATGCCCTGCACCTCAGAGTCGGAGTCGACCGGCCGCAGCGAGAACCAATGATCCTTGTGATTGTATTTGTGCAGCTCCTCGCGCTTGATCGCTATTTTGCCAATTGGCTTGTCCTGCTTCATGTCCCGGTCCCACACATAGACGGACAGATAGCGAAAGCGACGCGGTATTTTGAACTGATATTCCTCGCCAAAAAACGGCGACAGGGTGCGTTCACTGATGGGCGTCCGGCATATCTCCTCCTGATCCAAGGCAATGGTGCAGTACACATCTCGTGTGCCCTGCGTGCTGCAGCTTGTGTTCGCCGCATTCCGACTGCTCAGGTTTTTTGCTTCACCTAAAATTAAGTAGTAGTCATTAACAAGAGGAACGCAAGTGAGAATGTAATTAAATGTATGCAATGCACGGCCACAAATAACTTGAACCAGCGAGTTGGTTCAAACCGCGAACCGCTGAATCAACTTCTGATCTAATTCCTATGCAGTTATCGACATAAAAACGTTTTAAGAAATCGTATATCGATAAATTGTCATTCGATAACACGGCCTTGGTAAACGTGATACCTGCAAAACGTGCTAAATCTGATACGCTCTTAGATGTACTTGCTTAATTATGCATACACTCAACGAACTCGATGTGCTTAAATTTATTTATTCAGCAAATCATATTTCAGCGTTTCGTCGGCTTACTTTGATGCCGCCAAAGGGCAGACCGACACCAACGTGACTTCCTGTGCGCCGATAAATTGCATTATCGATGCGCAGCCCCACCTGGTGGCAACAGCAGCAGCCGCAGCCGCAACAGCAACAATGGCCGGCGCCTGACTAGACGGCGTGTCCCTGTTTCGAGTGTTAAAAATTAATAATAACAGTACGCGGCTGTTGTTGCCTTGATAAAGCAAGTTAATCAGGCAATGACCAGCGGGCAGGCAGTGGCAACGTTTGCTCAATGAACAACAACTAAGAACTATGCACTCGACCGCACAATACTCTGTTCTTACAGTGTACAAATTAGTCGAGTTGTCTAGACTTGACGTTGCTAGTTGTAAACTAACCTCAAGGAACAGACTTGCAAGCTATTCATTTACTTGAATACATATAATTTATTTATTTGTGGGTCGATTTTAGAGGCCAGGCCAGGCATTAAACCAATATACTCTTCTTGTTTACTTTGCGAACAGAGCATTCAAAATTAGCAGCAGGCAGACGCAGTCGAGCGGAAATATAATGCGTATTCATTTTTGCATGTGTGTGCGTGCCGGGCGTCATGTAGGCATGCAAAGGCAAATGCGCAAAAATATTGTGTTATGCGCGCCTCTTCTGGCTTTTTAATAGCGAGCCGAGAAGGTGGCTTTTCGGCCTTCCTATTGACACAGCTGCTTGGCTTGGGCTAGGTAAACTACTGTAATGTGTGCGTGTGTCTTTGGTAAGCCAATCAATTGGGTTACACATGTACATACACACATGCATACATACATATATTTGCCTGCTGTTCGTGCTTGTGTATTTGTGAATAAATAACGCTGCTTTTACGCTCGGCTCGCTTTGCTGCTGTCGCCTGCCCTGCTCTCACTTTGTTGTCGTAAGAAAAATAATATTAAAACCCCCCCCGCCACAACAAATACGATTGATAACAAAAGACGACGAAGCCGACAATGTTGTTGTTGTTTGTTTTCGTCATCGCATTCCGTGTTTCTTTTTATGAATGGAAGCGGCTACGTAAAAGCTACAAGAAAAACAAGAGGCACATTTTATATGCAAAAACAGAAACGAAAGCAGCAACAACAAAATGAAACGAAATAAAATACAAATCAAATGACAAAAATCAAGAGTGCTTTGCTCTCTTTGCTCCCCGCGCTTACCCCTGCTCCTTTATACTATTCATGTCGCTCGCTCGCTCGCTTGCTATCCCTCTCCCTCTCTCACTCACTATCGCACACACAATCTCTCTCTCTCTCTGTCTCTCTGCCTGGCTTGCTCTCCTGACCGCGACAGACAGTCAATTTCATTCATTCATGATTCATGAATTGGCATCGCGCGCTGCCGCTGTGTCTTTTTCACATTTTTTTTTTTCGCAACTGTTTTTGTTGGCTGAGGGAATTCCACAGTTCCCGTTGCCGCCGCCAGTCAAATAAATTGCCGAATTTCATAAGCGCGTTTATTCTGTGACGCTTTATTTATACTAAATTCATTTGGGCGAGTGACATTTTTGTGTTTTCCTTTTGCTTTCATTTATATTTCTATTGCGTGGCGTTAGCCATTTGGGTTTTATTCCTAATTATTTGGGGCACAGCAGGGTCCATTTGTTGCACATGACATCGCGTTAGCCAGATAACGAATTTCTAAAGAATCTTCGATTGAAGCTCCTTTAAAACGGTTTACGGTTCATATCATTTTACAAACATATGAGTTGAGGGTTTGCGAAATAGTTATAAAGTCCAGCCGGAAGTTAAATCTTTGAATTCCGGCAGATTTCCTGGTATTTTTCTAAATAATGTTATCTATCTTTATTGCTTGAATTTCCGATATAGATGTGTCTGTCTTTCTTTTTAAATGCTTATCTCGCACGAGAGATTTCGCACAGATCTGACGGATCGAATCACTATATAATATACACATCTCCTAACATAGGTAGGACATAGTTTTCGAATAAGAGTCATATCGTAGAATTCAGTTCTTTCATCTGTTTGATATGCATATAATAATATATATATAGATATAATTTGAGTTCGTCTTCTGCCCCTTAAGCAAATGCAGCTTCTGAATTGGCCAATAAATTGAAAAATTAATGAGATAATTGAAAGTGAAATTGCGTATTGATAACAAGACTCAAAAAGTGCTCAGGCTAATGATGTCTAGTATTTGAATTTCAATCAGCTTATGCGATTAGGGCGTTATCTCTTTTAGCTTTTCCTCAACTTGTTCCGCTGATGGGGATCTAATAATAGCTGCCCTTATGCGTGTACCATGTGGCAACTTCTAAGGCCAGCCACACAACAAATCTGAGCACAGTGAGCCCCCCCTAAAACCGAAAAAATAAAGCAAAAACAAAAACAACTTTGACATTTGCCCATGGAGTGTGCCCGTCAATGTCATTCGGGCAGGCACAGAAAATTACGACACGATTCGTGCCGCAAGAGAATAAAGTGTGTCTATAGATAGATGTGGATGGATTTGGATGGATGTACCATAAAAAAAGGCCCGCCCGCCTTTTAGGCCTCGTGTTTCGACAGACTCATTAAACGCTTTCAATTTCCAGGTTCCCGAAATGGCAAAGGAAAATTAAATTTAAAGACTCTGTAAGTAGATTTCATTTTTATGCCGCCAGCCAACAACATCTCTTCTGCGCTTTTCCTGCTTGCCCGCGCATTTTCCATTTTCTGTTTTTCTTTTTTGCACAATATGCAAATTGATTCAGTGCAGCATGAAACGCCCGCGAATTAATGAGGCGATTACTTCAAGAGCACAGAAGAAACAAAAAAAAAAAGAGAAATACTCGGGGCAGAAGAAAAATAAGTCAATGTGAGGGGGGGAATCTGTGCGGAGGTGGCGCAGTCTACAAAATTCTAAAAAACCAAGAAAAACAGGAAGGAACAGCTATCTCTGGCATGCCGAAGATTAAATACCCTTCTCTTATGAAAGATATTTAAAAAATAATAGAAGGACAAAGAGAATAAAGTAGTCAGATATTGACAGGATTCAGATACATATTGAAGCATTCAAATGCTAAGCTCGCATACTTAAGACAAAAACAAACTTTTTTCAAATAAAAACCGACTGAATAATTGTGTTTATAAAATTAGCTTATCCCAACAAATATGGTGCTAGTAGTCCAATATGGAAAGATTATGAGAAAGGGATTATCTTTCACCTTTGCACTAATTGATGCTAAGTAAAAGGTAAAATAATATAAGAGTTTAGATTGAAAAGCTATAATACCCTTTGCAAGGGAAAAAGGCAGCGAAACTTTTATGCAAAAGAAACGGAAATAGAGATAAATTCTCTCGCGCTTTATATATGTATGTATGTATATAGATATATATATTTTGTTCGCGCTGCCGCGTCAGCGGATGAGAGATTTACAGACAGACCAACAACGTCGACGTGGTGATGGTGATGATGATGATGATGATGATGATGATGTCTGGGTCTCTGGCCGTTTGTCTAAACGTCAGCTTCCTGTCGAGCAAAGATTACTTGCACTTTATGCAGATTTGAGCCAAAGGTGTACGCCCTAAGAGCAGCACATGTACAGATAGATGAAGGTATGAAGATATCTATATATATATGTGTGTGTGTGTGTGTGTTGCCAGGCCAGCTTCTTGTTAATTCTTTGCAACTCATTTACAATATCATTGCACACTTCAGCTGCATTCATTTGGCTGGCGAACAACTTCCTTTTTCCGTTAACCACTTCCTTTTGGTCAAATTGTAGAGCACATAAAAAGGGTTGCCTCTCCAATATAATTGGGCCCAAAGGAAGTAACTGGTTAGTTAGCGAGCAATGCACAGTTTACCGAATGCAATGCCATTTCCATTTGATGCACTCGCAAGTATTAAAGAAATGCGCCACATTTTAATCATTTACAACAAAACCAGCTCGCCCGACTCCACGTCGCAGTCCGTCCACACTCTCCTCCATCTGTTGCGCCTCTGCCTCTTGCCTGTTGCCGCTGTACGTGCCGATCGATTTCCGGTCTGATTACGTTTCTCATCCACATGCTCATCTTCTTGCCTGCCTGTGTGTCTGTTGTTTGGCTTCTGCTCGCGTGTTTATAGCTTTTCATTAGCGTCATCGAATCGATCGTTTGTTCGTTGATGGCCGCTTTGGCGCTGCTACGTTTGCAATCGGGCCCTGACAAGGGATCTTACTGCCAGCTATCTGGCAAACATCTTTATCCATTCTAGGCTGACGTTAAGGGTTTGTAGAAGAGAGCGGCAAATGGTTCGCAGAAATCAACCCTAACTAAAAAGGATCTCAACCTTTTTTAACTGACAATAAAACAAGCTGGCAAGACGTAATTTTAAGGGTCTTAACACCCTTATACTGCAGCTTAGCTTGGGCGAAACAAGATTATAGAGATATATTTTGACTAAAATAACAAAAGGATGAAACCGCGAAATGAATCAGTTACCATAGAAAATAAGCATCCTTTATAGGTAATGTCTACTTCGAAGCGTTAAGCATTCATTGTGAAAGTAAAATACTTGGCAAGATCACAAGAACTCTTTAACATAATTAACATATTTTCAAATTGTTCTAATATATACTGCCTTTTCGACTCAAGTCAAGCACTCTTGATAGCATAGTTATGGTATATATTTCATTATTATTTTA